CGAGCGCCTTCGAATTGCTGACCACGCACACCAATATACTGAACGACAGCAAGGCGGTGGCGGTGGACGAGCATTCCAAGGTGACATTGCGTATGTTGGCGATCGTGCAACGGTCGCAACAACGGTGGAGGACGCCGAAGCGGAAGCAGCCAAGATCGAAGCAATAGAAAGCGCAATAACAACCGCCGCAGCCGTAGCCGCATCTCATCGCCGCGTGGGCACAACAAACGGCAAAAGTTCATCTGAAGCGAGAGGCGATATCTCCAGACGCAAGGCCAAGAATAAGTACAATACGTATAGGGAGCAATGACATTGGAGTGGCTCCAAGAGCAGCCAGCGTGGCAATTCCAGAAACAACGACAACAATCCGCCGCGCAGGATGATTGAGGCGGCTACTGTAAATAACATCGAGTCGGCTTCTCGGACTCATCTTGAATAATCTGGAGCTGTACTTGCCGTGCGAGGCAAGCTACAAGAGAACGGAACCGACAAAGGCAACAACATGATTGAGTGGGTGTTGGACAGCGGTCAAAACCAAAGTCTCAAGCGACCTGAGCCTGTTCACTAGACTACATAAAGACTCGGTAACGGAGTTGGGGGTTTGGCAATGGCACCCCCGAGCTAACAGCGGTGGGCACCGTGCACATGCAAGTGGTGAATGAGCGCACGGGCAAGATTGAGGAGCGGCTCCTTGATGACGTGAGCTACGCTAAGTTGGCTCCCTACAACCTGACATCGCAAACCTACCTGCAGTTCAAGGGCAACTTCAAAGTACGAATTTCGCAAGATCAGAAGGTCACGTGGCTTGGCAAAGGCACGTTGAAGCTGCGCTTCAACTACGTCCGCGGGATGTATCGTATGTGGACGCCGCGCCAGTACAAGAACGTGATGAGTGTTAAGACAAGTGAGCTGGAGAACCCGATGCCTTTATTGCAGAACGGCCTGGTCCATGGGAACATGGAGACTATCAAGGCTATGTCAGGACAGCTCTATCACTTTGGAATCAACATGCAACTGAAGAGCTTTGTCGCCTACGAATGCATTCCGCGCTTAGCGTCAAAGACGAACCGCATGAGCTACAAACGTAAGCCGTCAAAGCCATTGCAAAAACTTTTAGTCGACCTATGCGACGTGGGTGTCGACACTTTCTCAAAGTCAAATCACTTTATATTAGTCAATGACGAAGCTAAGAGTTACAAGTGCGGTTTTTGCTAGCCTACATAGACGAAGCCACGGAACTGATCTAGAGGCAATTCCGCTCGATTCCAAACCGGTTCTTGAAGGCGACCATGAAGATGCGGCTCTCTGATGGTCGTGGCGAGTTCGTCAACAAGAAGCTCGAGGACGTCTGCAAGGACCTCGGCATCGACACACATTCTTCGCAGCCTTACAGTCCGCAGGAGAACGCGATCATGGAGCGCACGAACCAGACCGTCATGCGACAGGTCCGCTCGATGCTACAAGATACGCAGATGCCAGTTTCACTGTGGGGAGAGGTCTTTTTACATGCTATTGAAACAATCAATAAGACACCGACGCAGGCGTTGAAGGACAAGCTGTCCCCGTACGAAACACTGTACGGAGAGCGTCCAGACCTTAGCGTGTTGCGCACGTGGAGATGCTTGTTGCACTCTCACATTCGCGAAGACTCTCGTCAAAAAAAAGATAAAGCTCACTTCAAGGACGCAAATGTGCTTACTACTAGGCTACAGCTAGAAGACCAAGGGTTACAAGCTGCTGAACCTGCGCACAGAGTGAGTACTGATGTGTCGAGATGGGAACATGAAAGCGCATGAGAAGTACACTGTACATTGAACAATGACTATTGAGTGCGTACAGCTACGGAGACTACGACTTATCTGCGGAGATCTCGATCGTGCCGATCCGGACAACGCTGTCTAAATACCTGTGGTTGCTTGTAGAGCTTGCAGCAAAACGTGCAGCGTAGATGGAGAAGCCCTCTATAGCCAGTAAAAACCAAGTCCAAGTCGAAAAACGTGAAGTTGAGTCAGCGACTCAGAGTGGTGACCTGAAAACGCAGAGAAGACTACTGAGCCAGCGGCTTCAGTGGGGATTCCAAGTGAACAAAGACCACAAACAAAAATGAAAATAAACAACATTATGGAGATCGAGTGGTGTAACGGGGTTACATGGTGTGGAGCACACAGGGGTACGAAGTACCCGGAGAGCTAACAAACTCTCAGTACATAAGTTGGAGAGTTAACAAGGTCTCTCAGTACGTTGACTGAAAGACACACGTTATGCATTTGATTAGGTTTAACTATGCTAGATAGTTAAGAAGATACATTTACCCCTAG